CGAGTGCAGGAGCCTCACCCTGCCCGGAGAGCAGGGGCCTAGAAGGCGGTGGTCGGGGAGGCCGAGGGCAGGCCAGAGAAGACAGCAGGAAGGCCTCAGCCAGGCAGGGGGACCCAAACTGGACCCACGAGCCCAGGCCGCTGGGGAGGCAAGGAGGGCGGCACCATCTAAAGAGTCATCAGCTTGCAGGGCGGAACGGATGTGAGCAGAAACCCAAACGGGACAAAGAGGAGCATGAAACACGGATAAGCTCCCTTCTCCCCATTTGCGTCAAGCACAGAAAAAAGGCTCTATCGACGTTGCATTCTCTTATTTATCTTCCTCTTACATCACGGCAGATATTTGAGGGCTTCTTCACTGTACACTAGTTCAGGCGGAAGCAAAAGTAATGGCAGGAAGGGACACTAAACCAGGGACTTCTCAACTCGGGCGAAAGACTTTGTACCTACGAGGTTATAAATATTGGCCGGGATGAAGTCTGGGGATTTATTCTAGACCTCCCAGCCACCATGGATACAGAAATGAGATGTGGTTTACACTGGGAGGAGAGTCAAACTTGCTCACGTTTCCAAAAGAACCCCTGGGGTGTGGTTTCAACTGTGGCCATTTATTCTTCACGAATGGACCCCATTTACCAACAGTCTCTCGATGTGTGTATACAGCAGACTTGAACCCATTCGTTGTTCCCTTTAGAACAGTGGTTCCCAGCCTTCCTTTCATACAGTTCCTCATGCTGTGGTGACCCCCAAACCATAACATTATTTTCGTTGCTACTTCATCACTGTCATTTTGCTACTGTCATAATCAGGCGACCCCTGTAAAAGGGTCGTTTGACCCCCAAAGGGGTCACAACCCACAGGTTGAGAACCGCCCCTTTAGAATACTAGCATAGAGTTTAAGAGCAAGAGTTCTCAAACTGGGCTCTGTCTTTATCAGCAGTGTGACCCCAGGCAACACACTAACCTCCCCATTGCCTCCACTTCTGCATTTGTACATGCAGTACTATACCAAAACTCATAGAACTGTGTTGAGTATTACAGAAGTGTTAGTGTTGAGATCGATTTCTGGCATGTAATAAGCCCTCAATAAACATTACCTGTCAGCATCTCCCCTGTCCGCGGTCCGATGGCCAGTGCGTATAAACAAACCCCACAGACGCTGTCTACTGTTGTTAGGTCCTGCTGGGTTGGCTCTGGCCATCTGAGGAGCGCAATGAAACACTGCCTGCTCCTGCCCCGTCTTCATGGCGGTTGAAATGTTTGCATCCATTGTTTTCTACATTGTGTCTGCCCAGCTCAGTTAGGGTTTTCCTCATTTTTCCCGACCCTCGTATTCACCGACCACGACGGCTTTTTCTAGAGACCGGTCTTCCCTGACGACATATCCAAAGTAAGCAGGGGAAACGCTCAGGACTCTCAATTCTAGAGCAACTGGGCTTATATTTCATCTAAGACTGCTCCCCTTTCTACCGAGACACTCAGAAATCCACAGGTGAGCTTCCTGGAAAGGAAGGACTCTAAATCCATCCTGACCCCAGGTTGACTTGTTAGACACTTTGCTGTCCACTCTGTTACATGCTACACACACAACTAAAAGGTGAGCCTACTACAGAAAAGTTAAGGACATTCAATTTTTGGGCCAATTCGCACCAATCCAAGAAAGGTAAGATAAAGCGGGGAGTCTTATCAGGAAGCAATGTACACAGACATAAAAAGAAGAGGCTCAAGAAAAAGCTCATTAGGCCTCTGTTATACTTTCAATGAGCGTGCAAGGAGGGACCCGATGATTCTAAAAAAGAAGGATGAATAGAGGAGCAGTTAGATCCCATCCATCCATCTACACACCCATCCACTCACCAAACCATAGACCCACCAGTCATCCTTCTACCCACCTATCTACCTCCCTGTCTAGTGTGCAAAGGCAAGGACATTTGCATCAGAATGCACCTAAGTTCCTTAGAGCAGGTTTGAACAGGGAGAGAAGGAAGGGGATGACACGCACCCAATCCCGACCCCATCCCCTCACCCCCCACCCCCGCCACCCCAGAGACAACTGGGGGAAATCTGGGGGTCTCAACTTTCTATGTTTTCTATGCCATCTGCAACTCTGCTTCTAAAGGCAGCTGCTGCAGGCTCTGTCCACTCTTGTTTATTGACTTCTCTTGCCTCTTGAATAAATAACAAAAAGCAGAAAGGTTCTGCCCATAAAACAGCACTCCTGACACACCATTACTATTTTAGCAGACAACCAGATGTAACCAACTAGGCTGCTAGATCACCCTCCAGGGCTCTAATATCCAACTACAAGCATTCTGATCGAAAAATAGCAGGGCTTTGCTTTTAATGTATGTGCATTTTCAAATGCAAAGAGTACAAATTGTGTAACAAATACTACATCAAACCTATTCACATCGTGATTTGTTTTAGGCTCCCAAGCAAGAATGACACCTCATTTTTTAAAACAAAATGAGCCACAGCAACAACGGTCAAGAGAAGCCCATAATTTTTCTGGAGATTCGACCAACATTATCATCAGTATCTTGGTTTAGAAGTCCTGGTGGCGTAGTAGTTACCCATTGGGCTGTGAGCCTTGCGGTTGGCAATTCGAAACCACCAGCCACTCCTCGGGAGAGAGACGGTGCTTTCTACTCCTGTCAAGGGTTGCCAGCTCAGAAGTTGACAGGGACAATTCTATCCTGTCCCATAGGGTTTCTGAGTCCACGTGGACTCGACGGCAGGGAGCTGTGGTTTGAAGGCTGTGTCTCGTCATCGTGCAACGCTCGCAGTCATGTCTGATGGAAGCAAGACTGAGAACGTGAGCACCCTTGAGTCGATAGGATAAGTACAGTCTCAGATTACCCTGGCACTGCTTAAATCCTAAGGGCAGATTGTCTCAGAAGAAACCCGGCAGCCACCACGTTAACCAAAGGATCCAGTGGTCACCCCCAGTAATGGGACCAGCTCTTAAGATGCTGCCCAAGAGCAGACGGGCAGGGCCCGACTGTACACAAGACCCAACCAAGGACTGCTGTCAAACAACTACACTGGAACAATGAAAAGTCTACAGCATGGCAGAGGAAGAAAGTCTACAGACGTTCCTTCCGATGAAAGGTGACAGATGTGACATGAGCAATAAATGCAGTGAGTGATTGAACAACAACAAAAAAGTTGTCAGGAGATATTACTGGGGGATCAGAGAAACTTGAGTATGACCCGTATGTTAGAAAAAGCTGTGTGTATGTTCAGGTGTATTTGTAGGTGTGCGGCTGAGTATGCTTATACCTATGTCTGTGTACATGTGCATATGTGTGTGCTTCTGTACCTTTTATTTTTTTGTCTCTAAGGAAGCTGCCAGTTGCTCTCTCAGCCACAAGAGCCACGCCACATTTTACTAAACAGAGGGCATAAACATGGAAAGAATGACTTCCCACAAGTGAGGGTAACCAACTAAGGTTAGAACAAATCGGGTGAGTCACTTCCTCTGAGGGAGGAAGACAAACATGTCTTGCTTTCTGAAGAGTTTGGAGGGCTAGAGGGCACGTGAGTGCTGGTTTGAATCGACACTGAATTATGCCATCAGCTCAGTCCGAGACCCTACAGCCTCTTCGCTCCATGCATCTGGCCCCCTCCACCATCAAACCAGCTACTGCTGAGTCGGCTCCCATTCAGAGTGGTCTCGGTGGTGGCAGATCAAAAGCAGTGAGCCCCGGGGTTTTCCGTGATGGAGCTTGTGGAAGGAGATGGCTAGGTTTTTTCGTCTGAGACATTCTGGTGGATTTGAACTCCTAACTTTCCATTTAGCAGCTGACGTTGTCAAGTTGGCACCCCTCAGGGACTCTACCACACAGCCGCCTATTCCAAGTCTCAAAGCCATCGCAAACCCTTGTCCATTTTAGCCTCCACATCCCTGAGTTCTTGGGATGCGACAATGCATCAAGAGTGAAGGGGACTGGCACATTCTCCCTGACCTTGAGTGGCAAAGCCTGTGGTTTTCTTTGGCTCACTACCTCTACCGCTCCTCCGTGCTTGTGTTTAGCAGTGTAGCTTACTGGCTCAGCAGGCATCCCTCCTCGGAGCTGCCCCCGTGCCAACAGCACACTCACATGGACGGATTAGGCAGAGCTGTGCTGTAAACACACACACGCACAAGTACACACGCTCTCCCAATGTGTGCTTTTCATTCCAGACATTCTTCATTCCTGAACCGCTTCTCTGCTTCTCTTGGCATGAAACTGGGCAAGTGGCGCTGGGCCAGGGGAAACGTGTGCTTAGAGATTTGGGCTTTTCTTAAAACTTCTTTTACCTCTGAAGATCAAAAATAGGACACGTTAGGGAAATCGCAGCGTGCTACAGTAGTAAACGAGAAGGTGCCGGGAGGGGAGAAACAACATCCCTTTCGTTTGGGGTTTGCTGGCTTGCCTCTTTCCGAGCTGCCCACGAGAGATACTGGAAAGAGGCGCTCTAACATAGAGTTCCCTACCACAGAGTAGAATTAGAGTCCAAGTCCAAGCAGGGAAGCATCACCATTAGCTGTGACAAGAAGGGTGAGTGAGCGGCTGCTGTCTTAGATGGCGTGCCTTCACTCTGCTTTAAGGTCACCTACCCAAGCGGGGTGCTCTGAGGAAGAGCTGGCCAGGGTGGCTTGGTTCTGCACACCGTTTATTTCTATGCCCCGTTTCTCTGTGACTTTCACCCTCCGTGAGGAAAAACCCTACAGGAATCAAGTCCACTTAGCTGCCGTTTCTCCGTTGCCAGGCTCGCCCCCGGGTACCGAGTTAGGGGCTCGCTCCCCTAAAGGCAAGCCGCCACCAGGAACACTCCCCAGATTCTATCGCTGTTACCAGTGGACTTACAAAATATTATAAAATACCCAGCTAGGATGATGCAGGCGCAGCAGGACCCACGCATGCAGTCTGCTAGTCCATCGGTGTGACGTTCAAGGGCGCCTTCGGGGGAATGCTGATCTGCCAATGTGGGGGGCCCGAGGAACGGGGTACTTACTTTCTTTCCACTTCGGGCGTTGACACGGCGCTACAGAAGCCGAGCGATTCCTGGAAGAGAAGGGTCTTAGCGTCAGTACAGCCCGAGCCAGGGGCTTCATCTGACTTGGACAGAATATCATTAAAAAAAAACAAACGTGGAAAAAGACAGAAGCAGAAATAGATGCTTAAAGTCACTGTGCTTACTTCAATCTGGGGCCGCAGCTGAAGTGACGTGGGGCTGGGATCAGGTTTCCCCTAAAAGAGAACAGATGCGGTTTCATGAGCCTCCAAACGTGGCATGTCCCAGAGAGACAAATCTGTGTGTAAGGGGAGTCGGGAGGATTTGGGAGACACGGGGTCGAAGGGGAGGAGGCAGGCGTGGAGATAAACAGACTCCCCACCCCCCACCCCTGGAAAGGGGACTGCCTTTTCAAACCGAGAGCTCGGGCCTTTTGAACTTCAATGGTTGTTCCCTACACTTCCCTGCTTGACGCTGCTTTAGTGCTGAAGCACAGAGCACAATCTAACAGAAGGAGACTGAAGTCACTGAGCTCCTTCTCTGGTTGGACTTTTGAGTGTATTGGGGCACTGGATTCACTGTGAGCCATCAGTGTTCGGCGTATCATTTAGTTAAGCTACAGCTCCAAGTTGATGGTAATGTTCTAGATGTATTCAGAGCACTGAGCAACACAGGCCTAAACAATCCAAATGCCTTTGGGAGGTGCAACGCTGATAGTATATTGTCTTAACAGTCCTAAGAAGCCATCATACTCGGGGGGAACCGATTACAAGGATCTACATGCAACCTCCTCCCTGGGGGACGGACAACAGAAAAGTGGGTGAAGAGAGACGTTGGACAGGGCAAGATATGACAAAATAATAATTTACAAATTATCAAGGGCTCATGAGGGAGAGGGGAGTGGGGAGGGAGGGGACAAAAATGAGGAGCTGATCCCAGGGGCTTAGGTGGAGAGCAAATGCTTTGAGAATGATTAGGGCAATGAATTACAAATGTGCCTTACACAATTGATGTATGGATGGATTGTGATAAGAGTTGTATGAGCCCCTAATAAAATGATTTAAAAAAAAGAAGTCATCATACTCGATGCGAAAGAGGACCACTTCATCATGAACATAACTACAACACCGAATGGTTTTAAGTCTTGTTGAATTGTAAAAGTAGCATGGAATACCAAAATAAGTATACTGTGTCTTATTTATACACATAAACAGTAACAGGACTCCAGGATGTAAAAATGGATATGCAGAGATGGAGAAATTTGAGATTGGGATGACTTGGGACAAGCATCTGAGGAAAATGTGTTTTCCTGGGCTGGGCTTAATAGACTGATAACCTACTCACACCTCGTCCCAGGCCATATCTGCAGTGAGAATGATATCCCATCAAAAATTGTGTAGTTCATGATGTGGGTCTAGAGTTTCTCTGATGGAAAATGAGGTGGAGCTAATGCATGGGGAGGTATAGATGAAATATATGTATATATCATAAATATAGCTGTATACACATATCTTTCATCTACAGCTAGTACTGCTGAAGCACAGAGGTATTTGGGAGTTCATTATACTGATGTCTCTCTTTATATTTGAAAATTTCTAAAACATTTGAAAATTTGAAACAAGACAGATAATAGTTGTATAGCCTGAAACACTGTGATATTTCAATCTTGACCAAACATTGCCTCTTTAGATTTAAAGACTCTGTGATCATTGGAGAAAGAATTACAGTCATCAAGTTTAGATGTTCCACCTCAGTGTTACAACAGAACATGAAGATACACATTCCAAAATTGAGGGCAACCACAAATTCAGTAGGAAAGGCTGACTACTATCTCCACGTGTAAAAACACACTCTCTCCTCCCTTACCAGCTCTCTGGCTATCTCACATTTTACATGTGCAACAATAGTTTAAAAAAGAAAAAGCCTACAAACCATTTTTTAAGGGGGGGGGCGCATTACCAAAGTATATGTGGCAGTAACAAATGGCAAGGTGTGAAGAGGAGAGTCTTGGCTGTGATGGTTAGCGTTATGAGTCAACCAGGCTGGGCCACGACTCGAAGATGTGGCCGTTGTGCGATGATGTCGTCCCCGATGCGTTGTGATTTCCTATGTCACACTCCAGCTTTCACAGAACGCTGACTTTCACTCAACGACCACCTCTTTGGAAGCGAACCAGGTTGATAAGTGAAGAGTCGGTGTGTAATATCATCACAGGGTTTGAGAACGACATGCTCATTGACTATACAACAGATTGGATTCGAAGCCTTCCTTCATATGCGTCCACGTAAGATCTGAGGTTCCAAAAGTACTTGAGACACAAAATGCTGGCAGCCAATCCCAATAACCTATAACTACATGTTGTATTGTCAGCAATTGACTAGGATTTCTTTAGAAAGTGGGGGTGGAGGAAGCATGAAATTTAACCTATGGATTAGGTTGTTCATCATGAGGCACATGGATATAGTAGTTTATGATAATAAATGTCATCAATATATAAACTCCTAAAGACATTTCCCTAACTTAATGCAGCATAATGGTGAAAACGTAATTAGGATATAAACGTGCCGCCACATGCATCTCTGCGTGTGCTTTATGTCATTGTATGTGTGTGCACATTTATGCATGGGAAATATCTGGAGGATTAGACGATGAATTTAAACAACAGCTAATACTTTTAGAAATATTAGAGAATAATCTATCCTTTTTCCATTTTGATAATCACATAATTATGTGTTAATTCTGTTTTTCTTTTAAATATGACAGGTCCAGGTTGCCTTAAAAAAATGCCATTACTAAATTCCATGATTTTTAGCAACAGCAGCCCCTAGATGGTGAATGAGTTGTTCCTAAATCTGTCTTTAAGTTGAATTTGTATGTACACGCAAATGGGAAGGTACAGTTCACACTTCATGTCAGCTAGTCAAACATGTGTCTTAGTATACTGTCAAAAATATTAAATAAATACTTCCACGTATTCTAAACCATCTTAACATAGTGATGCAGTCATAATAAGTTATGATGATGAACATTACAAAGTAGCACTTGCTTGCTATTACAAACTACTGTTTTCATTTCAAAATAGTCTTCGGTACAGTGGGCTTCACAGGGCTGGTTTGTATCTATGGGTTGCACATACGTCAGATGCTTAAAACCCAGGGACTGCCTGTATACACATGTAGTTGTATAAGTTCATGAGAACACATTTGAAAGACCTCATCTAGACCAACATATTAAGTCCCAAAGACTAAATTTGGTAAGAATAATACAAATTGCATCCCCAATGTTCAACAATACTGTGCCAGTGTTAAAATACTTTGTGGCAGTGCTAGGTTTGAGGGGTTTTTGTTTGTTTGTTTGTTAATCTGTTTAAATAAAAACCCATGCATGCATTTCATGCTGATTTAAAGAAGGTCCACATGAAAATCATCTCCACTGTATTATGACTAAAAAGGGTTTAAAGGAAAGCACTGCATAGTTTGGCTTCTTTAAAGGAATCAGATGGCAAAGAATTACAGGAGAGCAAAGCTCACACCCCTTTCTTGCTAAGTCGGACAATTTCTGGAAACGCTATTTCCCTCAATATGTATTGGGCCTAACATGGAAGCAACAAAAGAGCGAGCGGTTCAGGATGGAGGCCGTGGCTTTCCAAAACAAAAGCTAACAACGCCATGCGTGCACAAGTGTGCTCTCGTCACCTGCTGGTCCAGCATGTGACAACCACAGTCACACTGCAGAGCTACAGTCTGGGCTGAAGGAATACATTTCACTTTAAAGGCCCCAGCATGTCGTATGATACACAGCAGTTTAAAAACACAAAACACCCCCCCCTCCCCCCCCAGGACGGAGGACCGATCGGGAAAACGAGTACTGTGTTCTCATCCGGGCTCCAACTTGGTTCCCACTTTCTTGTGGAAATCTGCTCCTTTCCCTCCCTTGACACTGGAGAAAACAGGAGGATCAAGCCCCTCTCCTCTTCCAAACACAGAGAGGAAGCCCACCAGAGGCCCCAAGTTCTCCTCTGTGTCAGGTACAGGAAGGAGAAGGAGCAAAGGAGAGAGATGCTTGTCCACAAAAGGCTAACGCGTTCCCGTAACCACAGGCAACTAGGCTCCAACTGATGGGGAAAGGTCATGTGGCATTTGGGGGGAGGGGGGTAAAAAGAGCAGCTGATACCAAGTGTTCAAACAGAAAGTAAATGTTTAGAAAATGATGATGACAACATGTATAAACATACTTGATACAATAGATGTAGAGAATGTTATAAAGTCTGTAAAAGCCCCAATCAAATTATTTTAAAAAGAAGACTTCTCAGCAGTGCTCACCTGCCTGCCTGCCAGTTCGCAAAGTGTGTTTTCTTTCTCAGGAGACGCCTTTGCAAAATAACAGGTAAATGAGACAAAGTTCTGGACAAGCTCTAATTTAAATTTTTTTTCTTTTTTTTTACACGCAACTTACTCTTGGCTTTGACTTGACTTGCCCCTGTTGCAAATGAACCTGTGCTATGAAATTCTGATGGGTGAGTTCTTCATTTCTAGACCAGACCCCCTTCTCCCACATTTTAAATGTTTGAAAAGGAAAAGAGAAAAAAATGTTTCTTTATAGTCGTTGAAAAAGAAAACCACAAAACACCCTCATTTGCCCTTCAGGAAGTTCTAGGAGCTCAAGTGCCGAATCCTCAAGAACTTGGGGCTGTGGTGGCTGCAAGGTGTCATCTTGTCGGTCCGACTCACAGCGACTCCGTGAACAACACAATCGAAGACCGTCCGGTCATGCACCGCCTTCTCAATCGTTGTTATGTTTGAGCCCCTGTTGCAGCCACAGTGTCGGGTCCCCTCTTGTTGAGAGGCTTCCTCTTTTTCACCAACCTCCTGCCTTACCAAGCACGATGCCCTTCTCCAAGAAGGAAACCTTCCTAAAAACATGTCCAAAGTATGTGTGAGTCTCACCACCCTCACTTCACAGGGAGCATTCTGGCTGCACTTCTTCCAACACAGATGGACTGTTTGGTGAATTACAATGGGCTGTTAACTAACCTTTCACTATCCACTGCATGGAATGGGGAGAACAGTCCCAACTCCCTAACTATAAATGCCCTCCTGACCAGGATTCACCAGGCTGCTGTTGCTGTTAGCTGCCACTGGATCAGTCTCAACTCCTAGCGATCCGATGTCCAACAGCACGAAACACTGCTGAGCCTGGCACCATCCTCACAACTGCCATCATGTTTGAGCGGTGA